GTGGGGGCGGACACCCCGGACGGCGGCCTGCCTGACCCGCCGCACAGACGCGCCCCCGTCCTCACCAGTGAGTCCAGGGCCCAAGGGCAGTCAAGCCAGTGAACGCACTCGATGCTGGACGCACGACAGGGCCAGGCCAGGGCGTCCACCCCCGCAAGGGCGCTGGAGCCAGCCCACTTCCTCCCGGCGGCCTCTGGTCCCCCTGCAGGGCCCCAGAGGGAGCCTGGGCAGGCCCGCAGGCAGCCAGGCTGTGCGGGTGGGGGAGGCCCAGCGACAACTGGCTCAGGGTGCCGTGGGCACCAGCAGGTCGCCGGTGACTCCTGGGTTCACCCTGCGCAGACCCCTCCGGGGGCCCAGGGAGCTGTGTGGGCTGCCCACCCGGGGCCCCACTCACCAGGGCGGGGTCCTGGCTACCCGCACACTGCCTCTGGGGTGCTCCCGCCCTGGCTCCAGTTTTCGGCAGGAGCAGCTCTTGTTCTGCAAAAGACTGAAGGTCAATCACCCGAAGCTGGCACAGAAAAGGGGACTTTTACCAGCCAACAGCTGAGCACACCCAGTTCTGGCCAGCGGCTACACGTGGGGCCGGGAACAGGGGGGACCGGCACCCTCGGCTGGGGCAGGAGTCACCTTGCACAAATGACCACCCTGTGGGGGCAGGCAGGACTCAGCTGTCTGCGGTCCGCGCCGCCCCCCAGGCCAGCGGCAGAGCGCTGTGGCCCCCAGGGGCGCAGACTGCTGGTGGAGGCTGCGGCTGCTTCAGTGTGGCCCCAGGGCACAGCAGACCTCTGGGTCTCCCCGCCCAGCTCTGCGGGGTACTGCATCCACCTGCCTGTTCTGCTGCCCACTCTCCGTGAGTCCTGTCCACAAACCCCACCTCCACAGCGCTGGCCTGTACGGCAGTTCCACGGGCATAAACAAGCTGCAAGCACAGAGCTCCACTCCCTGCAGCGCTGGGGAGGCCGAGGCCCGGGGGCGGTGCCCCTGAGGGGTCACGGAGCCCGAGGCCGGCGCGCG